TAATCACGTATCTCGAATCGTTGTATTTTACTCCATTCCATTTTATTTTGTTTTGTGTTATTTTGTTCTAATTTATTTTATTTCGCTTCATTCTTGCATTCTATTTTATTTTGTTTTGCCTTAATTCATTCATTTTGTTTTATTATTTATGTTATTTCATCATATGGAATTTTTATTCTATTTTTCCCTTCTTATTTTACTTTTATTTATAATTTTTCCCTTAATGGGTATTGAAACATGGATTACATGCTCTTGTATTATTTGATGTGCAAGTATTATGGGCTCGTAATTGTTTAGATAATAGTGAACTATACAATTAAATACAAGCGTAAAATGATGACATGAATCAAAGGATTACCGAGTATAAAGAGAAAGAGTGTACGGACTTCGTACATAGGGTAATCCTACCATGGATATGTCCTCAGTCATACAGGGATTGAAAAGTCCCATAGAGACGGGGTTGAGAGTTGTTTAATTATGTTCATACCGGACAGGATATTGAGACGGTCTTTAATTGTGGTGCCCATTACCAAACGGGGTATAGGTGTAACACCCTAAATTAATTTTTTTATAATTTAGAGTTTAATTATAAATGTAAATTCTTAATTTTTCAATTTTTAATTTTAATTTAGAGCAAAAATGAAGTAAAATTGATAGATGATTAAATTTTACATAATTTTAGAAAAAATTAGTGAAAATTTAGATTTTGGAGGTATTTTTGAAAGAAAAATTAGAAAATATGGATCAAAAAGTAATTTAGAGAAGTTTTACCACGTTAGACGCCTGTCAACATGTTCGACGAATCAGACGTGACGTGTGGCAGCAGACGCTGACGCAGTGCCACGTGGGAGGCCACGCGAGCAATCCGTATGCCCGCGATCGAACGGCCCAGATCCATTCCCGCGTGTACGTACGGCCTAGATGCATTCCTTCTCCAAACGCGATTGGACGGCTTAGAGCGGATCGCGATTGACTGTCCAGATTAGATCGCGATAAATGGCGTAGATTCACTCTCTATTTAATCGTGATCGGACAGTCTATATCAAACGCGATGGACGGCCCAGATCAAAAGCAGACGGATATAAATAACCCCCATCCATACTAAACCCTAACCCTAGCCGCCAGACCCCCTCGCCGGATAAGAAGACCCGGCCGTCGGAAGGACACTGTCGTCACCCGCCGTCGCACCGAAGCTTTTTTCGAACACCAAAAAAGGTAAAAAAATATTTTTTTATTCGAAATTCAATTTTAAGCACATCCATGGCCAAATCAGAGCAAAAAGAGCGGCTAATTGGCCGAAAAATATAGGCAAAGCCCTGCGGCGGCGGCGCGAGAAATTTCACAAAATGCCTCCGATGAGGCCCTTCTCGATTCCCATTCTGTGTAATTTTTCCACCGTTGTGATCACTCTGTCCTTCTCTATAGGTTGACCGGAGCAAAACACCCAACCGCAACGTAAGCTGGAGAAGCTGCCGCACCGGAGAGGCCCGTCGCCTGCGAGTTTAAGTTTTTTTGTATTTTTTGAGCCAATTGAGGCTCTTTAACGTATTTTCTCGCAGGGATCGATGCCGAATCAGCCAAATTTGGCAAAAAATAGCCGAAAATAGCCGACTCGAGGCAGACCACTGCCACGGGCGGCGGCACCGTCGCTGGAGCATGATGGAGCTGCCGTGCCGAAATTTTAAAATTGACCTAGTGGGCCCCGGGACTAATTTGGATTTTTTTGGGATATTTATAGGTACTATTAGCATGTTTTAATTCCCGAAGAAAAATTTAGGGAACCCAAGAATCGTCCGTAGGCGCAATCGAACAGCTTAGCTTTTTGCACATCAAATCGAGTAAGGATTCCTTACCCTATTTCTTATCATAGAACTGAAGTCTAAATAAATAATAATACGATATTTTGTGTAAATTTAGTAAATGTGCATAATTAATTACGGATTGCTAATAAAGCCAGAATCAGGAATTACCTACTATTGTTTGTTGATTATTTTTACAGTTTATATGCATGATAGTATCTTATTAATTGATTTTATGACTTTGAATGCATGTATGGTTTATTCTTATGTGTTTACTACTAAATTGAAAAAATGAAGGTTAAACGGTAAAAATTGTTTGATGAAATGAATAGATGAAACGACAGCTTTATTAGATATCCTGAGAGATGGTGGATGGACCAGGTACATAAAGAACCCTACCGTGAACGTTGTCTCATACCGGACGGGGTATGGAGACTTGGTAGATTGACGCTCATACCAGACGGGATATGGGGACAACCCACTTCACCCTCATACCAAACAGGGTATTGAGGTTTGGTAAATTAGTACTCATACCGGACGGGGTATGGGGACGGCCCGCTTCACCCTCATACCAGATGGAGTATTGAAGTTTGGTAAATTGGCACTCATACCGGATGGGGTATGGGGACGGCTCGTGATTGAGAATATTAAATGAAATGGTTCACGTATAGAAGGGTTCACATATAGTGGGAACATCCCTATGAACCCCATGGATACCAACAGGTTAGTAAAAAGAGCGATACTTATTGGGTATTTATTGATGATGGACATAGATGTAT